GGGGGAAAAAGAGCCATAGCTCCATCCGCAGGAACCGGCCGGACAGACCGAGGGCACGTCGGGCCAGCGAATTCCAGCGCCTCGGGCTCTCCAGCGCTTTGCTTTGGTTTAAGTCTGTGTTGAGAGGGCCTTCTAGGTTTTTAATTATGAGGGTTGGTAAGAGTTTTGTTTTAATAGCCGGTTCAAAAGGGGGGTTCATCGGGCTTCTGGTAAGGGGGGATCCAGGGTTGTGAGAGTCTTGGATATCGTGTTCAGGGTTTTAGGGACTTCAGGGTTCTGCACTGGCTTGGGTGTTCATTGCTTCTGCTGTCTAGTGGTGAGGTTCCTTTGGCTGTCTAGGAGTTATACAGGCTGTAAGGACTAGAGTTTGGGAATGATGGTAATGATGGAAGGGGTTGTACGTTGAGGATTTACATGACAGCAGAGCCTCCGCAACTATCGCTTCTGGATTTTATTTGGGGGTTTAAGGAGTGAAGGGTTTGGAAATCTGTTCTTTGCTTGTGGAGGAGCAGCGCGGAGCTGCGAGACTTTCGCCATTTCGGAAGCTCTGAACCCCTATACAACCCTGGCACTACATGCCCAAACCGTGTGACCAATCCTTATAACCTTAAACCGGGAAAACCTAGAACCCGCCAACGCTTGATTTTTTGTGTTTCATGTAGCACTGCTACGGTGCTCAGAGCGACTGCGCGGAGTTTTTTGTTGAGGCCCCTGTCCGGAAATCGCAAGCCGTCGTTCACGTCAGCCGTTTGGAGTTTAAGGCTCTGGGTTTGCGGGTTGATAGCAAGTTTGCAAAGTCCCGAGAGGTTGGGTTTGGGGTGTATCAGGGTATGGAAGTATGGAATAGCTCTTTCTGCCTGCATCGCAAGCCTGGCTTTCCATGCAGCTGCTGCCGGAGCTGCTTTGTAAGTAAGACCGACTCCTTCGCGTGGAAAATTTTGCATCTTCGGACATGACGGCAATCTGAATCGGGTAGCTAAGCAGCTAGCATGCCTTTCCATGCCCACAGGCCTCGACAGGCCTCTGTAGTCCTCTGGCCCAACCGCACCCCTTGATTCGCCAGCTCCCTCCCGTGATGATCTCAGGGGCTGGTTCGCGCGGACGTTGCTCCACTGGAAGACAATGTTGGGAAGGACCGGGCACATGTCATGTCTGCTGATAAGGCTCAATAGCATGTCAAAAAGCAAAGTCGTCCAATGCGCCCGCCGTTTTTCGTCTCAAGGCTGCACTATATAGGAGCAAGGGTTGAACGACTTGGCGGCAACATGGCTCTGCGCTTGCTGTCGGACAGCAATCACTACGTTACTCCGCAAGACGTGTACAACCTGCTCCTGCTCTGTCACCACATTCGTCGGACGGATTGGGCCAAGCGCGTTCTGCCCTTTCTGGGATGGCGGCTTTTGAGAGCAAGCGCCGTGGCCGCAGGTCAATACGCAACATGTGCCATCAGTCAAGCTGGACAGCTCGTCCGCTTCGGCCCTGAATATGCTTTGCCACCAGACCTGGGCCAGGTGGTGGCCGTGGCTGCCGGAATTGATCACACCTGTGCCGTGAAGGCGAGTGGCCAGCTGGTTTGCTTCGGAGAGAATAAACATGGCAAGTGCGATGTGCCTGCCGACTTCGGTCCAGTGGTGGCCGTGGCTGCCGGAGAAGGGCACACCTGTGTCGTGAAGGCGAGTGGCGAGCTGGCATGCTTCGGATGCAATTCGGATGGTCAGTGCGATGTGCCTCCCGACCTCGGTCCGGTGGTGGCCGTGGCTGCCGGATCTTTTCACACCTGTGCCGTGAAGGCGAGTGGCGAGCTGGTATGCTTCGGATATAATGGCTCAGGTCAGTGCGATGTGCCTCGCGATCTAGGTCCGGTCGTGGCCGTGGCTGCCGGAGGACCACACACCTGTGCCGTGAAGGCGAGCGGCGAGCTTGTTTGCTTCGGAGCGAAGGACTTTTTTCAGTGCGATGTGCCTCCCGACCTCGGTCCTGTGGTGGCCGTGGCTGCCGCATCTTTTCACACCTGTGCCGTGAAGGCGAGTGGCGAGCTGGTTTGCTTCGGACTGAATCGTGATGGTCAGTGCGATGTGCCACCAGGCTTCAGGGTTCGGCTTGCCCCACACGCCATCCGACCATCCATTTCCGATCCAACACAGGAGGTGCTGCAGCCGGTGCATCACAGCGAGCCTGCTGCCGACATCTCGCAAGAGGAGGGTGCCGCAATCGTGGCGGAGCAGGAGGCATCTTGGATCGAGCACAACATCGGCTCCGGTTGGCATGGCGGCGACTTGCAGACTCAGATACCTGCGGGACTCACTCGGGTGGTGCATTTGACCTTGAGCCGCTCGCATCGCCAGTTGGACGCAGATCTGGAGCATTCTCTGGCCTTGCAGTCATGTCGGCAGGCCCTGCAGGAAGAGGGATTGGACTGGCGCTTGCAGCCCTCTGGCGCAAAGATCTTCATGAAGCCTTTCTGCTTCCGAGCCATCCGCAGCCATCTGTCCACCATGCGGCTGAGGCCCTGCGACATTTTCGTCGCAGAAAATCTCGAGGAAGATGTGAGGCGAGCGATCCGCCAGATTCCCAGCAGCCTGTGTGTGTTCCCAAGAAGCTCTCAGAACATGGCCTTCACAGACCAAGATGGGGAAGTGGTCTTGGTCAGCCGCTCCTTCTTGAACATCCCCGCAACCACCCTCCTCAATCCGGCATCTGTGGCGCAGTCCACCACCGAGGCACGGACGCGCCAGGGATACCACGGCACGAACCCACGCAGAGTCCAATCGCAGTCGGGCTGATCTAAAGCATGCAGCTCTTGCTCCGGGCCTCCCACGAAAGACGTGAAAAACTACTGACAGCAATTTTGGAGGTCTTCACCTTGTACAGCTGGTATTCGCCACGGCGCCTTGGAGTGACTTGCTCTTAGCCTCCTCCAAAGGCGTTGTTGGCGGAGGCAGGGCCGTGAAGGCGGAATTGGACGCTGCAGATACGATGTCAACCGTAGTTGATAATATATGTGTGGCATACGGAATACACAATACGCTGCATAGTAGATTTCGATCGAGACCTGTGAAGCTTGCTTCGGTTTGTATCTTTCAACTTTCTGCGGCCTAAATTTGCAGCATCCCAGAAGGGCATCCCAACATCTTACCAATATTCTCATAAAGCTAGATTCAGCTAGATGCATTGCTCATGTTGAAACAGGTTATGACGGCCTCTCCATTGAGCTGTCCCTGCGGAGCGACTTGCTTTTAGCCTCCTCCGAAGTAACAGCCGTAGGAATGACTCGCCGACTGTCTGGACCATCTTTCGTCCGTGCTCCCGCGAAAATGTCGAGAAAGCCCTTTACGGGGGGGGGGGAGGGCCCTGCGAAACTAGGAGTGAAGAACATTTGTCTCTTGTGAGGGCCCCGGCTGGAGACGGTCTTCTTAGTTTCATGATAGCTTGCGCTTTCACGATCCTACGACCCTAGTATGATGCCTTCGCCTGGGCCACTGGTCACATCGCCTCTTTCTGCTCTTTGGGAGGCGCGGAGTCCTAATCGCGGGTACATGTCCCACAGTCGCCATTTGATAGTGACATACTAGAGTCAGTAGTTTCGTAATTATGACCTGCAAACGTAGAGATCGTGAGACTGAGTGGCGGTTGATCTGACAACAACGAGCATCGTAGCTACGGTTTGAGGTTTCCTGAGGGTTTCAAGTCAGGGTATCACTGGGAGCCCTGGCCGAAACCATCTGAAACCCCTGCCCAATCCTCCAGGCCGGGAGGAGCTGCTTGCAAGCTAGGTACTCTCATCTTCAAGCACTTCCGTGCCGACAGGATGTTGCCAAGTAGCCTACACCGGGCTTCCGATGCTCATGGGGATTCCTGCTCTTAGCACCTGGTGATTCTTGGGCTCTCGGTATAGTAGGCGCTTCAGGTTCAGGGGCTTTCAAGGCGATGCTCCCTTCGTATGTTCAGGCTGCTGAGGCTTCGCAACGCTTCGGGCGCTCCCAGGGCTTGGGGACCAGGGCTACAGCTTCTGGGGTTTAGGGCATTTAAGGGTTTATCTAGGAATCTAGGGTTTAGGGTTTGGGCCTCTGGGCACAAGGCTTTCCTCCCGGGGCTCAGGAGACTCGCGTGCTCTTGCAAAGCAGGGGGCTGTGGTTTTTTGGGCATCAAAGCTTCGGTATGGCTAGTTGTGCTGGAGGGTGCAAGGGATTTTTGTGTTTGGTGTTGACGTTTTTTTTTGTGGCTGCTGTCGTGCGGCATCTCTAGTCCGACAGGACGTGCCAGCTTGCGAAGCTGGTGCTGGCCTTTCAGCCCCTCGGCACGAGAGCAGGACGATTACTGGCGGGCTCGGGGCCTGTGCCGATCTTTGACATTGAATATTTCTCGTCTGCCGTGTTGCTATGGCTCTTTCTCATGTACTAGGTAGGCCCTTGGGACATTCTATATTGTCCCTTATTGGGTTTAAGAGGATCATATTCAGGACAGTTTTTCAGAGGGTTTTCAGGGCCCATCCTAGTGGTCCTAGTGTATACTTCCCCCTTAGGGACACATGTAAATGTTGGGTGTCTGGTTTAGGGATGTCAGTTTTGGGTATTTCTCCTTAGCCCCCTCTTCGGGTTTTCGAGGGTGTTGACTTTTTTGAGTTTAGCACTTTCTCCGTAGCTTCCGTTACAGAGGCTCGGCAAAGAGGGAAAGGGTTCAGAACTTAGGGGACAGGGCTCACCTAAACTCTAAAATTCCCGAAACCCTAAAGTCTAAACCCTAAAACCTAAACCCTAAACCTTAAACCCTAAACCCTAAACCCTAAACCCTAAACCCTAAACCCTGAACCCTGAACCCTGAACCCGAAGCCAAGGATCCCCTTCTGGAGTTTCGGAATGAGGAGGGCCAGTCCATCGAGCTGACGCCCGGATGTGTTTGTGGTCTTGTAGGGTCTTCCAGGGTCTTATAGGGTTTAGGGTTTAGGGTTTAGGGTTTAGGGTTTAGGATTTAGGGTTTAGGGTTTAGGGTTTAGGGTTTAGGGTTTAGGGGCTCAGGGCTTAGGGCTGAGGGCTTAGGAGGGCGTAGGGCTTATTGCTTTGGGCTTAGGGACTTAGGGGTTTAGAACCCTGAAAACGCATGGAATACCTGTCAAGGTTGTGGGAGTTGCCAAGAAGGTGGCCAACAACCAGATCGAGACTGGCTCCATTTACTAGAACCCTTCGTGCGATTCGTCATTCTTAAACCCTTTAAACCCTGCAAACCATCTGAACTCTAAACTTAACCTCTAACCTCTACAAACCCTCATAAGCCCTATAAACCCTATAAACCCTACAAGCCCTACACACCCCAGAACCCACCCGTATAGACCCTACGAACCCTAGAACCCCCAAAGCCCAGAATGCTTGGTTGTGTAATTCGCCTCATTAAAGCTTGTAGGGTGCTTAAGGGAGGGGGCCTCAAGCCCTAAACCCTAAACCCTACTGCCTGAGGCCCCCTAAGCTTCCCTATGGTTCCCTCGGTACCTACCCCATATGAGCCCCCGTCCCTGAAGAATTCTATACTACCTAGGATGCCCAGAGGTCCCCTTATTCCCTTTTTGGGGGGTTTAGGTTCCCTTATAAACCCCCTTTAAGCAAAAAGGGCACCCTTTTAAAGCCTAGGTTACTGGGCAGCCCGGCTCCAGCCACAAAAGCCCCAAGACCTTAAGCTTCCCTAACGTTCCCTACAGTTCCCTCCCTTAAGGACCCTCTACTAAGCAGAATCCAACGTGCCAAACCTGTGGTGCCCTTGCTCGCAGATTTGTAGAGCAAAGGGCTGAGGCTCGACCCTAAGCCCTAAACCTTAAACCTTAAACCCTAAACCCTAAACCCACAGCAAAGGGTTCCGTGACCCCTGAACTTAAACCCCAAACTCCTGGCTGGCGCTACCCAGGACATCACCGAGCTGCCCATCAAGAAGTGGACACAGGACAGTCCACTCATGCAGTCGAACGTGGCACTTGTCCTTGAAAACGAGAAGGTCGTTCCCTTTTAGAAACAATTCTCCTTGTAGTAGGCTCTCATCCGGCGGTCAATTCCTTTAGAATTCCCACCCCCCCCCGCCGCCCCAAGGTACCAATCTGTGGTTGGGGCATCGGGTTCGGAGAACCCTAAGCCACAAAAACCCTAAACCTTAACCCCTCAGCCCTCTTGGTTCCTAGTTTAACACTCTTACCCCCCCCCGGCCCCCTAGCCTTTGTCATAGTTGGGTAACATTTTACATTTTTAAGGGTGCTTAAACCCAATAAGGAATATACATTTAGATTTTTAATACTACCCCAAGCATGAACCAGTAGCTAGAAGTGAATCGTCCGTGAGGCCGCGGGAATCAACATCTGTCTTCATTCTCGTCACCTAAACCCTAAACCCCGAACCCTACACTCCAAGTCCTACCTGATAAATAATTGCCCCAAAAGCCTCAACCCTCAACCCTAAACCCTAAACCTTCCCAAAAGCCTCCAATAGCCCGAAGTGCGCCCTTTCAGGACTACGAGGAGTTCCTCGGCAAGATGGCCGAGGCAGCTTTGATGCTGATCTTGTCTTAGATGGGGCTCTGCTTCCTTGAAGACTAGATGTAGTAGCACAGGGTATATGACCCCCCATTGCAGGGTTCATTTGTTCCCGAAGGTTCTGGGACCTGCGGCAAAAGCCTTGCGGATGCTAAAGAGCGTTTCGCCCAGGTTAATTGAAGAGGACTGCCGAACTAGGCTGAGACCTTTCGTAGTTCCTTCAGCAACGAGGTTCGTTTGTAATTGTACCTCCGTCTCAAGCATATAGGCACAGGCTTGTCCGACAGCACAAAGTCTGTCCCCCCCCCCCCGGCATGGCCATCATCAACTTGCGCGCAGATGGCCTGCACATCTTGGACAGAGACCTCCGCCACCTTTGCTGGATCCTGGCAGATATGAACAAGAAGAAGGAACCGCATGCGGCCGTGTTTGCCAGCTTGGCGCGGGAGTTTGTCCTGCCGTTCTTGGCCTTGACCTTTCGATCCGCATCAGAGTCTCCAGTAGCTGCAGGCCTCAATCACATCTCTGCAATCAGCGAGTGCGGCCGGCTGTTGAGCTTTGGCGCTCTTAGCCAGTCCGACATGCCGGATGTTGGCCCGGTGGTTGCAGTGGCAGCGGGAGATTATCACGCCTGTGCCGTGACGGCAAGCGGTGATCTGGTTTGCTCCGGATCGAACAAAGGTGGCCAGTGCGACGTACCGCCAGACCTGGGTCCGGTGGTGGTCGTGGCTGCGGGAGCCTTTCACACTTGCGCCCTGACACAGGCTACTATTTGCTTAAGAACCCCAAAAGAATGAAACATAATAATCCCTGTATTACCCTTAATGAGGAAGAATATTTGTTATTTTTCTGGGGTTCTTATAAGCAACTAGTAACTAGTAGCAGGGTGGCAAGCTGGTGTGCTTCGGCTCGAACTTCTGTGGCCAGTGCAGCACCCCCCCGGACCTTGGTCCAGTGGTGGCCGTGGACGCAGGAAATTCTCATACCTGCGCCGTGACGGAGGCTTACTTCGCCTATAGTTGAACTTTAAACTTTTTGGGTTTCCTTATGTAGTAGGAATATATGTTAAAGTTTAACCTGGTTGCCCTTGGTTATTGGAGAAGTAAGGAGGGGGGCAAGCTGGTTTGCTTTGGATCCAATGATGACGGCCAGTGTGATGTGCCGCCCGATCTTGGCCCAGTGGTGGCCGTGGCTGCAGGAGTTTACCACACCTGCGCCGTGACAGCAACCGGCGAGCTGGTTTGCTTCGGATCAAACGAGCATGGCCAGTGTGACGTTCCAGCCGACCTTGCCCCGGTGGTGGCAGTGGCCGCAGGGTTTCGTGACACGTGTGCCGTGACAGCCAGCGGCGAGCTGGTTTCCGGATAGCCCAGTGGTACCCTTGTGCCCTTTTTTGGTTCGAAGTCCCTTTGTACAGTAACCCGAAATCCAAAACCTAAGCCCTAAACCCAAAAAGGGTACCCTTATTGTAGCATGATTGCTGGGCTACCAAGGTTTGCATGGGATCCAGCGCAGGCCAGTGCAACATGCCGATGGACCTTGGCCCTGTGGTTGCCGTAGCTGCAGGGTTTCGCCGCACCTGTGCCTTGACCATACTCGAACATAGACGTTGTTGAACGTTTCTAGTTGGATCTTGAGTTGGTTCTATTTATAGGGGGCAACAGTTTCATGCTAGAGAATCATGAATCTTCTGAAATCAGTAGGGGCTCCTTGAGAATCGTAGCAGGTGCCGTGACGGCGGGTGGCAAATTGGTCTGCTTCGGCGAGAATCAAGACGGCCAACCTTCCCCCGTGAAGGTTCAGGTCGCGCTGCCGCGACAAGCCTTGCTGGGCTCAGTGTGCTGATGTAAAATGAGACCACACACATTGCAGTACTCATACCTCGACTTACTTCTAGCACCAGTGTTTACAGCATCTTTGCTCATCCAGAGCCAGCAGCAACACATCTTCAAACCCCCCCTGGCGCGCGTTTTGAAGGGGGGTAGGACTGGTTGAGCAACACACGCCCGCACCAGACACTTCGAGCCACGAGCAGTTTTTACTTCTAACTGTTGGTTAGTATAGGGGATGAGGGAATGAGGTACCCTATATAATCCCTTAAGAGTATATTATATATAGGGGGCATAGGGTACCTCATTCCCTCATTCCCTACTAACCAACAGTAAGACTTGAGGCATTTTCCGAGGCTTCGGCCGAGCCAGCAATTCAGGAAAGACGCCCGACAGGTTTCGGCTAGCGCTCCCTGTCAGGCTGCAAGACCCATTTGCGCATGCTGGGACATCGCAACTCATGTACTGTAACCAGAAGTAAGCGCGCTGCATGCAAAAGTGCATCGCGCGCGCGCGCGCGCGAACAGTGGACCGTTTCAGGCCCCGCCAGGAGTGAAAAAGGAGCGTGCGCGCCGAAGTTCTCGGTGCAGCTGCAAATTTGACATGGCAGGGCGTCGCTGTACAGGACGATCAGCAGACATCCCAATTACAACAGCCTGATCGCTTTGGACCCCACCCACAGCTCCTGAACTACTTCGAGGTTCATGGTACTTATAACCAATTAAAACTGTACTTATAGCCCCTTATAAGCCCCTAAAATGTGCCCTATAAGATGGTGATAAGTACAGTTATAAGTACTGTTATAATTGGTTAATGAGTACCATGAACCTCCAAGTAGAAAGCCTAAACCCTAAACTAGGCATCCTTGGACCATGGGAGACTTCTAGGAAACCTGCCAAAAGTGATGGGAGGCCGAGGGCGACAACGCACGCGGGAAGATTGACGACATGAAGGAGTTCCACACCGCCGCTCGCTCGCTTTAGGGTTCAGGGTTTAGGGTTTAGGGTTTAGGGTTTAGGGTTTAGGGTTTAGGGTTTAGGGTTTAGGGTTTAGGGTTTAGGGTTCGGGTTTAGGGTTTAGGGTTGGGTTCATGGTTTCGGGTTCAGGGGTTAGGGTTGGGTTCATGGTTTCGGGTTCAGGCCGGGTTTGGGTTTAGGGTTCTGGAGCACGCTTTTCTTGATATCTTGTGGGCCCTTTCGCCCTCGAAAGCTGTGAGAAGGGTTTATAGGGTTTGGGGTTTATAGGGTTTAGGGTTTAGGGCCGCATAAGGATCGGATTAAGAACCCTAAACCCTATACCCTCAACCAAGAACACTGTAGCCCTAAACCATATATATATATATACAAAAAAATATAAATATATATATATATATATACTTATATATATATACATATATATATATATATACATATATATATATATATACCCGGACAGCGCTGGAAACCACGAGATGAAATCGTGAAGCTTCCCGACCCGCCAAGGAAAACACGGCCGCTCCGTCGTGCTTTCCTGCGCAGAGCTGCGGCTTTAAAGTTTTTAGGTATCTTTTTGTTGGGTTGCAGGGTTTCAGCGTTTCAGGGTTTCAGCATTTTGGGGGTTTTAGGGTTTTTCGGGGGTTTCAGGGTCTTAGGGTCGGCTTCATGGGGTGCAGAGGCTTTCGGAAGCCTTTAGGGCCTTTGAGGGTTGGGGTTTAGGGTTTAGGGTTTAGGGTTTAGGGTTTAGGGTTTAGGGTTTAGGGTTTAGGGTAAGCCCTGAATGCCACACCCCACAGTCCACGCCCTCGGCTCGGCGCCCTACACCCCAAGCCATTTCCCCTTTACTTCCGCAGCCCGAAACACACAAACTCGGCCCAACTGGGTGCCGATGCGTGCCGAGTATCTTTGGTGAACTTTCATATCTTTTGGGGTCCAGGAGTTTGTACTGGATGGCCGATGTGCTCTGTCAAGCTTGTTCGGCCTCTGTTGCCGCAATCCGGCCTCAACAGCTCGCTGCCAGGTCGAGCCTTCTGGAATCATTTTGTCGTACATGTTCTTGGGGATCGCCTATTGTTTTATGCATCTGAAACCCTAAACCCTAAACCCAGCATCAAACCGACAGCCCGACAATTGTTCGAGCCTTCTAACCCTAAGCCCCATGCTCTTTTCGTTGCGCTGTTTCTATATCAAGACAATCTCTCGGCTGGCTGCAAGCCGTTGCCCTAAACCGGGTTTAGGGTTTAGGGTGTAAGGTGTAGGTGTTTGGGTTTAGAGTCTAGCAGCCCTGTAGGCCCATCCTAGGGTTTAGGGTTTGGGGCTTTGTTGTTTCAGAGTTTAGGCTTTAGGCTTTAGGCTTTAGGCTTTAGGGTTTAGGGTTTAGGGTTTAGGGGATTTACGGTTTAGGGTTTAGGGGATTTAGGGTTTTATCGGGTGCAAGGTTTAAAAGTTTAGGTGTTGAGGGTTTCAGGGTTCATGGTTATAGGGTGTGGGGTTATACATTGGGAGCCCAAAGAAACCCCTACATCCGAATCCCTAAAACCCTAGAACCCTAAAACCCTAAAGCCCTAAACCTTCAACCCCTAAACCCTAAACACTAAACCCTAAACCCTAAACCCCTGAGTCGGCTGAGAGCGGCGCCAGGTTCATTTCTCCTTAACCGGCACCGTGGATCTGATCAAGGCCCAGCAAGCGAGTGCTATGTGCTTTGTTGGGTTTAAGGTTGAGGGTTTGGGGTTTAGGGTTTAGGGTTTTAGTGTTGTAGGGTTTTAGGGTTTTAGGTTTTTTTTTTGATATTTTCCTTCTTTGAGTTGATACAGGGGCCCTATACACGCAAACATTTGTTCAAGGGGCTTAAAGGGCAACCCAGTGTGGGTAGTTCTCTGAATTAGGGTCCCTCTCTGGGGGTCATATACTATAGGACCCAAAGTAGGCCCTTATTCCTTTTTTGTTTCAGGTTTAGGTTCCCTTATAACTTTTTTAAGCCAAAAAGGGCACGCTTTTTATTCCTCGGTTACTCTTGGGTCTAGTATAGGCGACCCAAAAAGGGATGAATGTAGAGAAGTACCCATGTAGAGCCTGAGCACTTTAGGGTTTAGGGTTTAGGGCTGTAAGCCTTCGCAACCCCGAAATCTCCAAGTACCCAGGCGCTGGAGCAAGAAGGGCTCGAGAAGGCCGGGTGAAAGTTAAGGGGTTTAGGGTTTTAGGGGTTTAGGGTTTAGGGTCTGCTCACCATGGTTCGGGTTCACGGCCCGGGGGTTACGGGTTTAGGGCTTAGTTAGGGGATTTCGGTTTTCGGGATCCTAGAATGTTACAGGTTACCTACTCAATACCGAAGCTAGGATGCCCAGTAGTACCCTTATTCCCTTTTTTTGGGGTTTAGGTTCCCTTATAAACCCCTTTAAGCAACAAAGGGCCAGCCCGGGAAGGTGTGTAGGTCTTGGCGGGCGCGTAAAGGGCTGAAGGGCTCAGGGGCGAGCGTTTAGCGGTGTAGAGGTTGAGGAGTTTTAGGAGGGCTGGTGGTTCAGGGGGTTTAGGGGTAAGAGAATTCAATAAACCCTAAACCCTAAACCCTAAATTGTGGGCTCAGGAAGGGATTTCGTGCAGCGTGCTGAGGTGTTTTTTGTGGCTTTGGAGGGGCGAGCAGAGGGGGGACGCTAGATTTTTCGGGCTCGGAGTTTGAGTGCTGCCCACAAACCCTAAACCCTAAACCCTAAGTTCCTCAAGCCTCACATCCCGCCCAGAAACCAACTCGACAAAGGCAGCACCATGGAATGCAACGCTGCCTTGGCGTTTGGGACGAGTCCTTGAAAGAAAGCCCCTAAACCCTAAACCCTAAACCCTGGAGAGATCCCGCAACACCCAGAACCTTTGCTTGGTAACCCACAAAGTGCTGCCCGTTTCCTTTTTTTTTGTTTCAAGGTTCCCTTATAAAGTAACAAACCCGAGATCTGTGGTGCCCTTGTTAGAATATGGTTACCGGGCTACCAACTCTAAACCGTAAACTTCTAAACCCTAACTGTTCCCAGGCCTTCATCCCAAGCCCATATGCCTTTTGCAGCTGAGTAGATAACATTTAAACTTATTTGGAGGGGGGGGGGGTAGGGTTTAGGGTTCAGGGTTTAGGGTCCTATTAACCCTAAACCCTAAACCGCTGAACTCGGCATCGCCTCGATACTTATCCTTAAAACCCTATAGACCTCCAATTAAACCCGAAACCTCTCAACCCTAACCCCTAATCCTAAACTCTCGGCCCAAACCCTAGAAATTCGTAGCCAAAGGTGGTTTCCCAAATAGGAGTATTTAGATTGAGGGTGTTGGGCTCCTTTGTAGTAGAGACCCCCCCCCCCCTCCCCAATATATTTGCAGATTGCAACCCTGGGAAGGATTTAGGGTTTCTTGTTTGCAATGTAGGGTTTAGGGTTTAGGGCTTAGGGTTTAGGGTTGCCTTGTTGACCCTTCCGAAAACGGTTGGAACTTCTGTTATTCTGGGTTGCGGAACGCCCAAAGTAGTAGCGTCACCCCTTAATAATGACCTGGCGAAAACACAACCTTCACATCCGTGCTCTCTTTCCCTTAGGCTCAAAATGGCCCAAAGCCTTTCATAAGAAGGCCTTTGGACCCAAATACCCTAAAATGAGAGTCCTTAGAGCCTTGTCCGATCATCTCCTACGTGGACATGGTGACGTGGGTCACTGGCAGCCGGGAAAAGCCCACGCTCGTGGGCTCTCACTGTCTAAGTACCATCTTCCTGAGACTGACCCGAAACCTCTAAACCCTAATAGCCTAATAGCCCTAAACCCTAAACCCTACACCCCCAAACCCTAAGTCCTAAACCCCAACTGTCGCTATCTCACCCTCATTGATCAGCGACGCGTTCGCTGCAAGCGTGCGAATGATAAATGCGGTGCAGGCACCTGAGAACGGAACAAGGTCGCTATGTCGCACCACATGATTACAAGGAGGGGCCCCCCTAGTTATAAGTAGAGTTATAAGGGCTCTAAATTGGGTCATAAGGATCCCAAATTAGGTTATAAGTCCCTGAACTATAGTTAGTATACTCAGGGGGCCCCTCCTTGTATGTTGGCAGCATCAGGACGAAGTGCACACCTCACGCCGCTTCGGAGAGACTACCACTCAGTTTGGAACTGCACTAGGGTTTAGGGTTTAGGGTTTAGGGTGATTGCGAGCCCCAACGAGGGCCATGAGGTGGCTGCTGCCGTGATGACTGCAGAGCGCCGTGCCACGCACACCGCGGATCCGTTGAACCTGCACCCTAAACCGAAGTAGGTTTTGGGTTCTTGCAGGAGGGCTTCGCTTAGGTGCAGGGCCGGTAGGCTTACGGGGTTTAAGCTTTTCGGGTTTAAGGGTGCAGGGGTTTAGGGGTTTATGGGGTTTAGGGTTTAGGTGTGGGGTTTAAGGGTTTAGGGCTTAAGGAGAATAGGGCTCAGGGTGGACTTCGCTGAGTATTGATTGAGATGGCTGGGATGACGCTTCAGGCTTTGCGACTTTGCGGTTTTGGGGAGTCGATACCCTAAACCCTAAACCCTAAACCCTAAACCCTAAACCCCTAAACCCCTAAACCCTGAACCCAAAGCCCTGTAAACCGTAAAGGCGCCCTGAACCCTGCAGCTGTGGTTGGAATGCCCATAGAGTCTCAGCCCCGAAAGCCTGCAACCCCAAGCTGCAGTCTTGGTAGCCCAGTGGTACCCTTTACCCTTTTTGTGTTTAGGGTTTAGGGTTTAGGGTTTACGGTAAAATAACCAACCCCAGAAAATGGTGCCCTTATCATAATATGGTTGCTGGGCTACCAAGAAGTAGATTCAGACCAGAGGAGGAAGGAGAGAGAACGACACGAGACCCCAAGCACTACCTGAACCCTAGACCCTACGAGCCCTACAATCCTTGTCCCGATAGGCCCTATAAACCCTAAACCCTAAACCCCGAAACCCCGAAAACCCTAAACCCCTAAACCCCTAAACCCCTAGACCCTAAACCCAAACGGCAGGTCTTAAAGCTCCGGACGAGCATCGCCACCTCAAACATCGTGCCGCCCGTTTGCAGATAGGGTTTCGGGCTTCGGGCTTCGGGCTTCGGGGTTAGGGAGGCGTAGGTCTTTAGGGTTCACCAGGGCAAGTTAGGCGTACGAAGAGTACCCTACAGGATATGGGATGACCATGGGTGATCCTCAAGTACAAGCAACCTGTTGAGGTAGAGCCTTCAATGTTTAGGGTTTAGGGTTTAAACCCTAAACCCTAAACCCTAAACCCTAAACCCTCAGGCAACAAGTTCGGGAGTGAGGTACCCCATATGCTTTATACACCCCAGTTAGGGAAAATAGGGTTGAGCTAACCTAATTCCCCAATGTCCCTAATGCTAGCTTCTTTGCCTGGCTGTGCGAATTTCCGGCCTCGTAGTCGAGATCAGCAGAAATCCCGATGTTGCAGCAGAAGCCCCGCCACCAGCTGCAAAGACTCCAGGATTCCTTAACCCTGAAGCCTTAAAACGGCATCAACCGACGCACCCTCCAAGTCAATGCCGCAAGACCTGAAAGCCAGCACGTCCAGTCTAGGGGCTAGGGCGGCGTCGGAGATCTTTCATGGATTTGTTGCCTTGAGTGTCGGGGTGACCCGTTCGTCTCTTTGGCTGCAGGTGGTCATGCAAGTTACTCATCCTCGCTTGAGACGCTTAAATGGCTCTAGCAAGAAGGTCTTCGACCAAAGGTCACACATCTTCTGACAAAGTTGCCTCAGCCTTGGAAGGCAAACGCAACTCCTTTCGGTTGCCATAAAAGCATGAACCTTCCCCCGGTCTTTCGGATCGGCCCTCTACCCGACACTTCAAAATCAGAAGCCCTGGGCTCTCAGCCCTAGAGATCTTCTTGCCACGTAGCTTGCATCGTACCGGGGCCTGCCCTGAACTCCACTGTACCCCTACGCACTTTGCGGGATCCCCACTTATCAGGAGCCAGGAGGCCGCAAAAAATCCATAAGCTTGACCGTCCAAACTTATCCCCTTTTTTCTTCTGGGGACATTGCCTTTAGATGCAAGTAATGTAACACCAGCAGCCGACGGGAACTTGGGGGGAAAAGCTACAGCTCCATCCGCAGGAAGCGGCCAGACGGACCGAGGGCACTTCGGGCCATCGAATTCCCAGCGCCTCTGTGGTTGTTCATGAGGGTTTGTAAGAGTTTTTTATAGCCGGTTCATGGGCAGGGCTTCTATATACACCCCTGGCACTATATGCCCAAACCGTGTGACCAATCCTTATAATACCTTAAACCACGAAATCTAGAACCCCCAAACCCTTGATTTGTTGTGTTTCATGTAGCACTGCTACGGTGCTCAGAGCGACTGCGCAGAAGTTTTGGTTGAGGCCCCTGTCCGGAAATCGGAAACCGTTGTTCACGTCGGCCGTTTGGAGTGTAAGGCTTTGGGGTTGCAGGGGCTCATGAACCTATCTGTGCGGTTTGGGTCGTCAACAGTTTTTCGGCTAGAGGTTGGGTTTGGGGTTCGTGGGAAAAACTGCGTCTTCTTCGGACATGACGGCAGGCTGCCCTGCAGCCGTAACAACGTCAGAACTACGAACCATCTGAACCGTTAGCTGAGCTGCTAACATGCCTTTCCACGCCCAGGCCTCTGTAGTCCTCTGGCCCAGCCACACCTTTTGATTCTCCAGCCACCTCCCGTGATGATCTCAGGGGCTGATTCGCGCGGACGTTGCTCCACTGGAAGACAAGCCTGGGAAGGACTGGGCACCTGTAATGCCTGCTGGCAAGGTTCAACACCATTGTGGAAAATAGCAAAGTGTCACAACAGTCGTCGAATGCGCCAGCCGTTGTTCGTCTCAAGGCTGCACTATAGGAGCAAGGGTTGAACGACTTGGCGGCAACATGGCTCTGCGCTTGCTGGAGGACAGCAACCACTACGTTACTCCACAAGACGTGTACAACCTGCTGCTGCTCGGCCACCACGTTCGACGGACAGATTGGGCCCAGCGCGTTCTGCCCTTTCTGGGATGGCGCCTTTTGAGAGCAAGCGCCGTGGCCGCAGGTCGATACGAAACATGTGCCATCAGTCAAGCTGGACAGCTCGTCTGCTTCGGCCCTGAAAGTGCTTTGCCACCAGACCTGGGTCCGGTGGCGGCCGTGGCGGCCAAACATTATCACACCTGTGCCGTGAAGGCGAGTGGGGAGCTGGTTTGCTTCGGAAGCAATCTATTTTGTCAGTGCGATGTGCCTCCCGACCTCGGTCCGGTGGCGGCCGTGGCAGCCGGAGACTTACACACCTGTGCCGCGAAGGCGAGCGGCGAGCTGGTTTGCTTCGGAAACAATGGATGCGGTCAGTGCGATGTGCCTGCCGACCTCGGTCCCGTGGTGGCCGTGGCTGCCGGACATTATCACACCTGTGCCGTGAAGGCGAGTGGCGAGCTGGTTTGCTTAGGATACAATGATCATGATCAGTGCGATGTGCCTCCCGACCTCGGTCCCGTGGTGGCCGTGGCTGCCGGACCGGAGCACACCTGTGCCGTGAAGGCGAGTGGCGAGCTGGTATGCTTCGGAAGCAATTACAACGGCCAGTGCGATGTGCCTCGCGACCTCGGTCCGGTGGTGGCCGTGGCTGCCGGTTTGGATCACACCTGTGCCGTGAAGGCGAGCGGCGAGCTGGTTTGCTTCGGAAAAAATGCGTATGGTCAGTGCGATGTGCCTTTCGATCTCGGTCCGGTGGTGGCCGTGGCAGCCGGATGGAGACACACCTGTGCCGTGAAGGCGAGTGGCGAGCTGGTTTGCTTCGGAGCCAATGAACATGGTCAGTGCGATGTGCCGCCAGGCTTCAAAGTGCGGCTTGCCTCTCAGTCCATCGGTACACCGACCCCCGATCCAATGCAGGAGGTGCTGCAGCCGGTGCATCACAGCGAGCCTCCCGCCGACATCTCGGAAGAGGAGAGTGCAGCCATCGTAGCGGAGCAGGAGGCATCTTGGATTGAGCACAACATCGGCTCCGGTTGGCATGGCGGCGACCTGCAGTCCCAGATGCATGCCGGACTCACTCGGGTTGTGCATATGCAGGTGAGCGCCGTTCATGAGAAGCTGAACGAGGTTCTTGAGCAGTCCACAGCCTTGCAGTCATGTCGGCAGGCCTTGCAGGAGGAGGGCTTGGACTGGCGTTTGCAGCCCTCTGGTGCAAAGATCTTCATGGAGCCTGTCTGCTTCCGAGCCATCCGCAGCCATCTGTCCACCATGCGGCTCAGGTCCTGCGACATCTTTGTCGCGGAAAATCTGGAGGAAGAGGTGAGGCGAGTGCTCCGGCAGATCCCCCGCAGCCTTGGCGTGATCCCGAGAAGCTCCCAGAACATCGCTTTCGCCGACTCAGATGGGGAAGTGGTGCTGGTGAGCCGCTCTTTCTTGAACATTCCCGCTGTGACGCTCCTCAATCCTTCTTCCGTGTCGCAGTCCACCACAGAGGCGCGAACGCGTCAGGGATACCACGGCAGGAACCCGCGCAGATTCCAAGCGAATCTTTCATGAGCTTCCATGCTTCATGCCGGTTCCCGGCTGAGCAGACGAAGCATTTTTGGAGAACCTTCCGTTGTACAGTTGCTGCCTCCCGTAGGGCCTTGGGGCGACTTGCTTTCAGCTTCCTCCGAGACCGCGTGGCAGGCTTATCGCTGCGAGCTGGAATTGGATGCAGCCGTCAGGGTGCAAGCTTGATGTGCGACAGTAGTTTTAGGTTACAAAGCACCAAAATCTTATAAATGGTATGTTGCATCCAGGTCGGGATCGCCTCAATTGCCAAGCACAGTTTGCAGCCTGGGCCGTTGAACTTCCTTCGGCTGCCTCTCTCTTGGGCTGTCTTTGCGGAGCGACTTGCTTTCAGCTTCCTCCGACCCGGGAGCCGCAAGAGAGACTCGCCGAAGTGGCTTTCGTCCGCATCGTGAAACCGTGCACCTCAAGGGCTTTGCTTTCGGTGAGGGGGCCCCAGAAGGGGCTACTGTATGATTTCGCGACCAGTTCGCTTCTTTTTTGTTGGGAGGTGCGGAGTCCGAATCCTTTACTGACAGTATATAGAGTTTAGCACAGTCGACGGCCATACCGGTATATGCCAGTGGCAGGGAGCCCCGACCACGCTCTGAAGAGCTTGTTGGTGTACATCTTGAAGTTCGAGGTCCACGTTTGCAGAGGGGTTTAGTCCTAGCGAAGCCCGAGCCGAAGCCAACGAGAATCTCCGGAAGCCCCGGAAATCCTTGCACTTCTGCCGGGCGGAGCAAAGCTCTACCACCTGGAACACCGGGGCAACGATAACGTAAAGGCGTACAGACTTACCGACATTATAATTATGCCCAACAAGGGTTATCATCACTATTGTAATTGAACTACTACAGTATACTCCAAGACCCTATTCCCTAAACCCGAAACTCGAGACTCCCCATACCCTATCATACCGCCTCTTTTTGGGAGAGATCCATTCCTAAAGTCACTACATGGTGAAACTACGGCAGTATACCCCAATACCCTCTCACAAGGCCTTTTTTCGGAGCCTTACCGACATTAATTATGCCCAACAAGGGTTATCATCACTATTATAATCAAACTACGGCAGTATACCCCCCAATACCCTATTATAAGGCCTTTTTTGGCAGATCCTTTCCTTCCAGGACTCGGCGCCGAGCAGAGCGAGCTCGGGCTGACAGGCGCTCGGAGGAGGGAAGGGCTCCGGGGGCTTCGGCTGAAAAGGTTTAGGGTTTATAGGGTTTAGGGTTTCGGGTTTAGGTGTTTAGGGTTTATAGGGTTT